ATATATAACTAGTATAAACATTTTTAGCAACATTGATGTAAATAATAGTAAAATTTCTTCTTATCAATTTTAACCTTAGCACTTCTTGTAAATCCATTGTACTTTTTTAACCAAAGATGGATATTAAATGTTATTATTATTATTATACTACTCGTCCGACAGAAGTATTTTCCTCGTTCGCTAAACATGCTGAAATATAATTATATCAAATAAATTTTAGTCGATTTCACGCTATTCCTCGGTAGTCAAGTGGTAAAGACATTCGCCAGGGTGCGCGCTATCGCCGAGTTCGAAAGTGGAATTTCGAGCGTATATGTAAAAAAATACGATTAGGGTTAGGAGGTTTAGGAAAAATTTATTGCAAATGAGGATTTATCGCGTTGGTTTCCGCTTACGAAATGTTGTAACCCCTGACTAATATATTTGCTTATATATCATTGTGGATGAACGTCGCGCAAATCATGCTCGCATGGCCGCCGGTAATTTTGAGAAAACTGGTAGTCAGAGTTTTTCCAATGAATGTAAACCACTGGAGTAAACCGGTTATTGCAATACGCCATTGGATTGGCTTCGCCTGCCCCTTGAGAGAAAATTCTTTACAAAATCAAACCTCAAAATTCTCAATAAACATGAACATTGTGGATGACCTCATTCAGGAGTTTCGTGTGTGGCAAGCTTTACTCCACTGAACTCTCTCTATATCTGGAGTGAGAACTCGAGTTCAAAAAGTAAAGCCAGCTTCGTGTCAACCGCGCAGAGAAGAACAATAGAAAGGGACTGGAAATGACGTCCATTAATAGCTACTACTGTACTACAGCTCCTTCAATTTCCGCCATCTTGGCGTGAAGTGTGCAGAAATTTTGTATTTTGACATGGATTTAAAGAATAACACTATGGTTTTATGAACTGATAACTTCGTTAGCGATACGGTCCGTTAGAAAAAAAACTGGAATTAACTGGGAGGGAAATGATACAAAAACTGTTTACAAACTTCAGAGCTATTGGACGTCAATGGCCGCCATCTTGACTTCACTTTTCTCATCTGACTTTTCTCATAGGCCGAATGGCTGAAGTTCACGCTCCAGATGTATATAGAGCTCACTGGCTTAAACCCTTTGAGTGACAATGCGGCCTACTTTATTTTACTCTGTCTAACGCCAGACGATTTTACTCATCAAGGGGACAGTGCTGCCCATAGAAGGTGCTGCCACTGAATGGGATACATTTCCATATTTTGTCCGTACAACAGACACTACCGAATTTGCTGTGATGAAAACTACTTCTTACAATGGACGACATTGTCCACCTTCAAACTATTGTTTTGTATTCACTTAAGCAAGTGTCTGTTCTCAGCATCCAGAAATTTTATAATGGTGATTTTGAAAATGAGTGTCACTCAGATTGAAACGTCCCATTTCATGTCATTTAGAGACAATCAAAGACCAAGACATTTTCTGAGGTGATTTTAAGTGATACATTTATTTAGGATTAGGTTACATTATAACAATTAATTAAATGTTTTGTCCCTATAGTTTCAATTAAATACATTCTAACTTCTAAGATAATAGTTTCACAACTGAAGTTGCACTATCTCGTTTGGTTGTCATTGGTGACAGTTCTCTCCATACATTGCTACTTAAATCTAAACACTCTACAGAACTGAGACATGTTTTAGTTTCATAAACATAACCACCCATAACAATAATAACATTGCCAGTGATAACTGCTGCACTTAGAGCTCTTTTATGATTAAGGCAAGGCAACATTTTAATTTTTCCTGTTTTCACATCATACATTACTACACTGTTTAATGTTTGACCTTTCTGATTAACACCTCCGATCAAAATTACATTACCTTTATAACTAACACTAGCCATATCAGTGATACGAGAAGGCAGTGGTGGTAAGGTTTTGCATTCATTATTGTTCAGGTCATATACGTACACAGTGTTTTTAGCACCCTTGAGGTATTTTGATGCCCTTCCTCCAGCCACTATCACCTGGTTGTCAATCATCTCACAACTATGGTAACATCTTGGCTCTGGCATCTGGGTCAGTAATTTCGGATTATGGGGAGGATTTAGACTGATTTCATAAATCCCATCTGAAACATTGTCACCGTCACACCCACCAGTTAAAATAGCACTGTTCTCGTGACGAACTATTGTGTGTCCATGACACTTCAATGGCATCTTGACAGGAGACTTTATCCATTCTAAATTCCCCTTGTCAACATTTAAGCTTTCAACACTGTCAGTGTTCTTGGTCACAATGACTCCGCCACTAACATATATTTCACGACCATGGACAAATGCTGAAGGGCCTGCTCGTGCCTCCTGCATTGCTGGTTCCAGTGTCCAGGAATTCTCGGGCCAGCTGTATGACTCTACGGAATTAAGGACAGTCTTGCCATCATTCCCTCCACAAACGAAAATCTTCTGCCTGCCTGTAACTAAATTGTATCTTTCGGTTGCTTCTTTAGTAAGATATGCCATTTCCTCTTGAGTCAGCTTCACTAGCTTTACTTCATCCTTGACTTCCCTCATATCATTCTGAAAAACATTAAATTTTCTCGCTAAATCGTCCATTTCTTTTCGCATGAAGCACGGGTGTACACGACTTGACTTCCATATTACTTGTTCTCCGCACTCGTCGCAAACGATCTTACGAAACTGACACGCTTCACGTTCGTGTCGTTCTTTCTCGTGTCGGTTCATGACTTCTGCGCAACCAGCGTTTGTACAACGCGTTGGTGAATAACCACAGCTGTCGACATGTCGCTCAAGAAATTCAAGCTTGACCAACTCTCGACAGCCACGGTTTTCGTGATCACAACGAATCATGAGACTCTGCAACAATTCCGTCAAAATTCTCGGTGGTTTGGTTAAGGTTTCTTCCGTCAGATGGTGTTGACACATCGGGCAAGTTTCGGAGTTTTCGTGCAAACACTTTTGAATACACGAGCGGCAGAAGTAGTGTTCATTCGGGCATTGTACTGGATCTTTTAAGACCTTGAGACAAATAGAGCACTGCAATTTAATGTCGACTTTGTCTTTGAATCTTTCTTCCTCATATCCGCCGAACGAATCTCGCCTCGCCATTTCTCTTCCAAACAGGTTGGAGAAAACGTTTGGTATGTTTTTGATATTGTTGTTGGGAAGACAGTTTTTAAAGACCTTGTCTCGGGTTTCCCTATTCATACTGAAAGAAAATAGACTGATGATGTGTCGTTATATCATAAGGCCACCTCAGATAATATCGATATCAATTCAAACTGTGTTCTTTTGTCACACATAACACATCATTTGAACACAATAAAAGGTTATTTAAAGAAAATTATGCACGAAGTGTTTTAATTAATACTTGGAAATCGAATTCATGGGAATCTCGCTCTATCTTTCTTACTACAAAGCTTTATTCAAGTGATTTCCTTTGCTAATGTTCCAAGAGAGATCTTACTACAAGGCAGACATTGATGTAAGGCTCTTTTACAGACAGTTTCACTTTGGGGAATAACATCGATATATTTTGTTAGGTCATTAAATGGCACCATGCAGTATATATTTCATACTGTGGCTGTGTTATTTTGTAATTCATTGGAATTTCGCAATATCTTTCTCACTACAAATCATTATTTAAGTCTAAATTACTAAAAAAAATTTCTTTGCCAATGTTTCAATTTCTTGATTGAAGAAAGAGTTAACTACAAGACTGTTATTGATGTAAGACAAATCTCACTTTGCTAAATTTCTGTCATGACAGAACTCAGTGATTAAATCATGCAACGAAGCATCGATATCAAGCTGTGTTCTTTTGTAAGTCATCATAGAGTGTTTTACAGCACAAGCAAACTAAAGTTAATTAAAGAAAATTATGCATAAAATGTTTTGAAATAATACTTGGAACTTGAATTCACGAAAATCTCGCTGTATGCGTGCATGTAGTTTCTCACTACAAATCGTTATGATGTAAGACAAATTTCACTTTGATAAATAACATGACAGATAACTAATTAAGTCATGCAACGGAGCATAGATATCGAGCTGTGTTGTTTTGTAAGTCATATAGAGCGATTTAGCACAAGCAAAGACTAAAAGTATGCATAAAATGTTTTTAAATGATACTTGGAACTTGAATTCATGCGAATCTCGCTGTATGTTTTTCTCACAAAGCATTATTTAAATCTAGAAGCTATTTTCTTCGCTAATGTTTTCTATTTAATGTTATATGCATGCATATAGTTCCTAAACAAACCTATTCCTTCATTTATTTTGCATGGATAGCTGTAGAATATCAGTTCTAGACTTTTCCTTGTTAGGGGCAACCCCTTGTTGGTTCCGTCTATCAGTTCGGTATATAAGGATTATATCTTATTGATCCAGTGTTACTACAGGAGGAAACCTAAACTAAACTGACTTTATTTGTACTGGATAGCTCTATCAGTTCTAAACTGTTCTTCCTAGAGGTCCAGTAAGGATCATCTCTTATTGGTCCAGTGTTACTACAGGAGGAAACCTGAACTAAACTAACTTTATTTATACTGCATAGCTCTATCAGTTCTAAACTGTTCTTCCTAGAGGTCCAGTAAGGATCATCTCTTATTGATCCAGTGTTACTACAGGAGGAAACCTAAACTAAACTAACTTTATTTATACTGGATAGCTCTATCAGTTCTAAACTGTTCTTCCTAGAGGTCTAGTAAAGATCAGACATCTCTTATTGATCCGGTGTTACTACAGGAGGAAAGCTAAACTAGATTTATTTATACTGGATAGCTCTATCAGTTCGGTCTCCTTAGAGGTCCAATAAAGGCCATTCCGTATTGGTTCAATGCTACTTGTTTTTGTTTAGGTTTGGTTTTCATAGCAATCCATTATTAAGTCTGATAGCAAAGCCGAAACTTGGAGAACGTAATGTCCGGCTTAATCACGTGACCGAATGGATTGAATATAAACTAAAACAAGAATTCAAGGTAAGAAGTGCCTTTGCTTGAAATATCGAAAGTTTTGCTTAGCTTTTCAAGCAGTTGTATCTCCCTCGCAGCTGTCTAAATAGCAAACTTACTCTTCAGTAACTCATCCAAGACTTAGGGTTAATCCAGCTTAGAACAACCAACATCAGGTCCTTTTGAGTTCAGTGGTATATGGAGAAAAATTTATTGTAAATATAATAAATAGAACTCATGCTAAACATGGGAATTTTGAGTTGAAATTATAGTTCGCAATATTGTACAGAGTAGTAATTGAAATGAGCATATGCTCTTAAATGGTATTAGGACGGTATGACATAAGAGATAGCTTCGTTTTATTTTATGAATAATGAGAGATTATATTATTAAAATAAAGATTAAAGTAGATACTAAAAATTATAGATTAATAAATAATGGTAAATTATATTTTATTTGCTTTGCATCATAATTTCAAAGTAGTGACGTCCAATCACGTCCATGTTCTCAATGGCGTCCAATTAATCGTTATTTTAAAATTATTTGGGGAGCGCAATTTAAAAACGTTTGTTTATTTACTATTACTAAGGGAGTTCTAGTCGAAGTAAAGCAATCTCAGATGTCTTGTCGTAAAAGATAAATTCACCAGGAGCAGAATGTATTTGATTCCTTTTTATTCCAGAATTATCTGAAAAAGAAAATTATTAGAAAGATGCGAAGACACTCTTCACAGTACAAACATCATGACGAAATTCTTTTAATCCACTCGAAATGTTATAAAGTGTTCTGAATCTTTCTCAAAACTGGACCACCACGTTTGAGATCTCTTTAGTTTTTCACGTAGAATACTACCTACATTAGATCACCACGTTTACTACGTTTGAGATATCTTTTTCAGGTAGTTCAGACACAATTAAACCACGACAGTCACAGCTTATTGTAGAATACTACACTACATGAACTACCACATTTGAGACATTTCATTATAAAACATATTTACATATTCTATACTCACCCAAAGCAAAAAGAAATGTTTCGTAGGTATCGTTGTTTCTGATTGTGGACGCGATGTAAGCAACTGGTTGACATTTTTGGTCTTTGCCTTTTTGACTAGAAAGTCGAGGAGCGAAAACATAAGATGATTGTTGCACTCGAGCCACAGGCCATGCAAGCTTAGCTTGGGGGTGAGTCCATGATATCTTTATGCCAATAGAATGAAGTCTCTGCTGTGTTGTCTCAGATGAGAATAGACAACACTGATGATTAAAACATGTTAACATGATCTTTGGGACAAGTACAATCATTGCATTGGAAATATTTATTAAGGCAAAAACCGAATCCTGTTAAAGCTTTGATCGACTCTTTGCCATGCTTTTGCATTAATACCTTGAGTTCGAAGCAAGGATCAAGAGGACAGGCTTGTTCCGGCGAGTGTGCCAAAAAAGCTCTCTTATATGTACCATTGTTAAAAGAACCCACCTCAGAAGAACTTTAATCACATTCACAAGAGGCTCAATAATGTGTGGGTCAAAAATGACATCTAAAGGATGAAAAATTTATTTATACTAACACAAATAGTACTATTTATACATGGTAGTATCTACTTATATATGGATTCAGATTCATTTGAATGAACTTGGGTATAGAAATGATAGTTGGTCTGGTGATGCATCTCAATGTATAAACACGACGGGTCCATCTGACAACTCGTCTATGACTATGTGTATTAAAACGGCATTAGAGGAACTGTTACAAAAATACAAAGCATGTTCCCAGAATATAATCTTGAATCACTGCATATTGCACTGCGTTGCATTGTATTGTATTGTACTGTACTGCACTTAATTAAATCTGTTGCATTGCATTGCAGTAATTGATGTATACTGTTGTGGTGACCCTGCCACTCGTATATCTTACGTGCCGAAGTTTAATAAATAAATAAATGAAGGGTCTGTGTCAGTGTAGATAGCGATGATAACAAGACAACTGTGGATTGATAGGGATACAACTACCTGAAAAATACAAGAAGAACTTCAACGTTTCGAGCGATGGATCTTCATCGAGAAGTTAGTAGTTTTGTTCTCAGACCCTTCGCGTTATATTCTAGTTATGCATCTTGACCGATGGTCTATCCTTCTAGTAAACCGTGTTTCCTCTAATTAGGCCTCTGGCGCTTATCCCCCCCCCCCCCACCAGTGGTTCTGAACTGGTAGCCTATCGGGAATGGGAGTTGGCTAAATAGAGGCTGGGGCTAAATAAGGGGGTTCAAATAAGGGAAATTGGGCAAATGTGTAGAGGTTGAAAGTAGCTAAACCAGCAAATAGTCTTCATGGTTAGACAGATCCACCGGAATCGCAGGTCGAAATTCCTATCTACAAAAGCCGTCAACGATTGATTTTATCGAATGAGAATACCAAAACCTTGACATTCTTAACAAACACCTGTTTACCTGACGCTAGAATAACTTCAGGACTATCTACTTCCTCTGTAGTACATCTTTCCCAATCAATTTGACAAACCAAAGCACTACATAGCTCTCCTGAAACACCAGTCTTCGTCTGACTGCAAGTCCTACATTCCTCTACATTCTGAGAACCGAACGAATTTCTGAAATCTTCTAAAACTCTCCTTCTTTCTTCAAAACAAGCTTTGGGTCCATCTTGACGTTGTTCAGGACAAAATCCATTAATTTGAAGATTTTCTTTGACTTTGTTCAAGACTTTTTCATTGGAGTCAGTAAAGGTGTAAGATTTTGGACGACAGCAATGTAGGGTTACTAGTCCCGTGAGACCAACACCGCAGCCTAATTCCAATATCGTCCTTTAAAGTAGAAAGTTTTTGTTGGATTTAAAGAGATGTCTTTTTCAGCGAGGAGTCTGTATTAGAAATGCGTCCGTATTAGAGAGGTTTTCGTATTAGAGAGGTGTCTTTTTAGGGAGGTTTTGGTATTAGAGAGGTGTCGTTTTAGGGAGGTTTTGGTATTAGAGAGGTGTCTTTTTAGGGAGGTTTTGGTATTAGAGAGGTGTCGTTTTAGGGAGGTTTTGGTATTAGCGAGGTGTCTTTTCAGGGAGGTTTCGGTATTAGAGAGATGTGGCATCAGAGAGGTGTCATTTTAGGGAGGTTTCAGTATTAGCGAGGTGTCTTTTAGGGAGGTTTCGGTATTAGAGAGGTGTCTGTATTAGAGAGATGTCCTTACTAGAGAGAGATGCGTATTTGAGAGGTATCAGTATTAGTGAAGTGTCCATATTAGAGAGGTGCATGTATTAGGAAGGTATGGTATTAGAGAGGTGTTTGTATTAGAGAGGTGTTTGTATTAGAGAGATGTTTGTATTAGAGAGATGTTTGGATTAGAGAGGTAACCTATATATATTAGAGAGGTGTCCATATTAGAGAGGTGTCCATATTAGAGAGGTGTCTGTATTAGAGAGGTGTCTGTATTAGAGAGGTGTCTGTATTAGAGTAACCTGAAGTTCAGGCCCTAATCACAGAATAGGGCCTGACACAAAACCTATCTAAAGTTTGGGATTCCCGTCCATCTGGGGGACGGGAAATCTGATTGGTTGATCAGCATCATGAAGGATTTTGATTGGTTGCAAGTTTACATAAACAACAGTTTTAAAAATAGCTCGACGCCGCCGAAAGAACAGCTAAACTAAGTCATGTATTCAATTAAATTCGAAAGCTTGTTAATTGTTGACAGCCAAGATGTTCTGCCAACTGGCTTCGCCGGCAAAAGTCTTATTTTTAATATCAGGTCCTACCGGCATTGTTTTCTGAGCTACATCGCCTTCTTCGTGGTACGATTGAGAATTTCATTGTTGCTGTTGTTAGCCTGTTTTAATAAAGTATATCCCTAATATCCGCGTCCAGCAAGTTGAGACCTTGAGAAAGCTTGGCAGTCAAGCCGTGCACAGAACTGACTAATTAAATCTTTGTTTGAATCTTATTTATATAAAAGTACCTTGAATTTTTAAGTTTAATTAAAAAGCAAAATGCACACTCTGCAGACATGTTCATGAGAATATAATTTTTTTGTGTAGCGAAATCTACAACACTGTCAATCATATTGCATGTTGTGTCTAAAAATAACATGTGGGCGTCCCACGGTCTAGACAGGTTTTGTGTCAGGCCCTATTTCAAATTAGGGCCTGAACTTCAGGTTAGTATTAGAGAGGTGTCTGTATTAGAGAGATGTCTGTATTAGAGAGATGTCTGTATTGGAGAGATGTCTGTATTAGAGAGGTGTTTGTATTAGAGAGGTGTCTGTATTAGAGAGGTGTTTGTATTAGAGAGATGTCTGTATTAGAGAGGTGTTTGTATTCGAGAGGTGTCTGTATTAGAGAGGTGTCTGTATTAGAGAGGTGTCTGTATTAGAGAGGTGTTTGTATTAGAGAGGTGTCTGTATTAGAGAGGTGTTTGTATTAGAGAGATGTCTGTATTAGAGAGGTGTTTGTATTAGAGAGATGTCTGTATTAGAGAGGTGTTTGTATTAGAGAGATGTTTGTATTAGAGAGGTGTCTGTATTAGAGAGATGTTTGTATTAGAGAGATGTTTGTATTAGAGAGATGTCTGTATTAGAGAGATGTTTGTATTAGAGAGATGTCTGTATTAGAGAGGTGTTTGTATTAGAGAGGTGTCTGTATTAGAGAGGTGTTTGTATTAGAGAGGTGTTTGTATTAGAGAGATGTTTGTATTAGAGAGATGTCTGTATTAGAGAGATGTCTGTATTAGAGAGATGTTTGTATTAGAGAGGTGTTTGCATTAGAGAGATGTCTGTATTAGAGAGGTGTTTGTATTAGAGAGATGTCTGTATTAGAGAGGTGTCTGTATTAGAGAGGTGTCTGTATTAGAGAGATGTTTGTATTAGAGAGATGTCTGTATTAGAGAGATGTTTGTATTAGAGAGGTGTTTGTATTAGAGAGGTGTTTGTATTAGAGAGGTGTCTGTATTAGAGAGGTGTTTGTATTAGAGAGATGTTTGTATTAGAGAGGTGTCTGTATTAGAGAGGTGTCTGTATTAGAGAGGTGTTTGTATTAGAGAGGTGTTTGTATTAGAGAGATGTTTGTATTAGAGAGGTGTTTGTATTAGAGAGGTGTCTGTATTAGAGAGGTGTTTGTATTAGAGAGATGTTTGTATTAGAGAGGTGTTTGTATTAGAGAGATGTCTGTATTAGAGAGGTGTTTGTATTAGAGAGATGTCTGTATTAGAGAGGTGTTTGTATTAGAGAGATGTCTGTATTAGAGAGATGTCTGTATTAGAGAGGTGTTTGTATTAGAGAGATGTCTGTATTAGAGAGGTGTTTGTATTGGAGGGGTGTCCCTATATATGAGAAAATGCCATCTGAAAAGTGTGCTGTCTTGAAAGAGTGATGTGCATTACTTTACAATTTACATTACATACTTTCCTTGCAGAAAAGATTTGTTTTTCATTAACCAGTTGCTAAGGTAAAGTCCTGCCTAGATAACAAATTAAAATTGATAGAACATCAGTCATTGAAATGAGTTATTTTCAAGTGTCTACACTTTGCTACACTCACTTGCCAAGTGTTGAGTCCAGTGGTACCTTGTGACACAAAATGAGCCGACTCACAAAGTGTTACCGCTCGTCCGCATGGCTATAAATAAAGTAAGATTTGGTTGCATGGGATAAAGGATTTGATTAAAAAGGTATTATGCTCAGTGATGACCCTAACTCATCCTCTAGGGAGAACAGTTAAATGCTGATACACTTATCTAGTAAAAGGTACAGTAGTTTACTTTAAGAATGCTACTGTCATTGTGTTATTTCAGAAAAGATTCAGATTCTCCCATTGGCATTGCAGAGGAAATTTGTGCTGTCTGGAAGGGAGAGGGGAAAATTTACTTTCAATAATGTAAAATGTACTAGCATGTTGGAAAAATAAAGGGGAATTTGTTTGTTTTCTATATTGACATATTGAGTGAACATTCAGCATTGTTCTTACCAGAATATATGACTTGTGAATAAACTCATCTTCAGAGTTTTTCTTCTTGGCCATAAGCTCAGCTATTAAATTATACAGCTCATCACACACTTCCCTCCCCTGCTTCTCATACACAGCCAGTAGAGACTTTAAGAATGACAACTTATATGTATTCGATGGAGGATATTGCTGACTTAGTGGATGCAAAACTGTCTGAGGAAAAAATAAGAAGGGGCACACCATATTAAGTGTCTATTTTATATTTCTTGTAAAAAGAAAGTACATGCTAGAATAATGGAGCATTGGAGTTCTATGTTATTCAGAAATGATCATATTAGAAAGGCATCTGAAAACTTTGGCATCCAGTTAGCAAAATTAGCAGTCTGACCAATATTGTGGATGGAACTTGCTGGACCTCCAGGAAGAACAGTTCCGAACTGATGGAGCTGTTCAAGTCAAGCCAATGTTTCGTTTAAATTTCCTCTTATGACATATTATAGTGTCTAAGTATCAACACTATATCACTAAAAGATGACCCTTACTAGACTTCTAGGGAAAACAGTTTACACCTGATAGAGCTACAATATCTATCCAATATCTTGCCTACTTTGGGGTGGACCACATACTGGCACATAGGGTGTGGTCACTTTATTGGAATATGGGTGTAGTGTATGATCTTCCCAGAAAAATATACAATCATCCAAAATGACTTCAATATAACAAAATCTCAACAATTCTACATACTGCATTCAATATTGCAATTTGCACAGTGTTCGACTCGTCACACTTCACATTTTTCAATTTTTCCCAGTCAAAATCTTTCATTGCTACGGCTTGAAAATACTGCTTTTGTACCCAGTGTAATGCTTCGTTAAAATCTGCCATATAATAACTATTTTCTTTGATTTTAAGACCGATATTTTCACCAAAAAATTAAAATTTTTAAGTTTACAAAAACAGCATTTCTCGTGCGCTAGATGGTAATAGTATAGGAGCAACCGCTTGATATCGCCGGCGCAAAACGCCGCCATCTTGGTATTGTCGTTGTTTTTTCTTTAAAAATGTGAGTGAAATCCCTATCAATCTTGGCTAGTTTTTTACAATTTCCTGTTCTTTTCAAGCGCAATGCATACTTCAATGTGTGTTCTTTTAATTCCCGTTCGTTTTGCGCTAAAATGTGTGGTATTTTATGCAATATTTTGTTTTAAACTTGACCTATTTTCTGTAGGGCGAAAGGACGCAGTCGATCCGTGTCGCCGAAAGCTAAAAGCACAAAAAGCAAGAGCAAGACTGCAAAAGCCGACAAGAAGCCTAGCAGAGGTCGTAGCCCTACAAAGAAATCAAGTAAAGATAATGCAAAAACTAAAAAGAGAAAAGCATCGTCAAGCAGGTCTGTACATAATTTAAAAACAAATATTTTAGACATATTATTTATATGAAGCTTTATATGAAATATAAATAATAAAGTAGTGAAGTGTTATAGAAATTGAATATAATAGTGAAAGTATGAAAGTGAAGTTAATAGTATAAAAGAATAAAAGTTAATTTTCCTGTTTTGAAAAATATTGCTGATGTCAGCATTTTTTTCAAAAACTGTCAAACAGGGCAGGAAAAAAGAATTTTCCAGCCCTCGAGAACCGTCAAAGTTGAGGTTGCCAAAAAAACGGCAACCCAAATCTGACCCAGGTCGGTATGTCTTGGCATTTTTTAAAATCTGTTTCCATGTCTTGGAGCAGTGGAGTACTAGTAGTCAAATATTTACGAATCATTGAAATCGGACAGCTATCAGCACCAAAAAAATTCTTACTTTGGCTGAATTAAGGTCAGCAAAAATTTGTAGACCTGGGAGGTTGATAGGTCGGCATTTAGGTCGCATTGCTGAATGCCGACCTCGTTTTCGAGGGCTGATTTTCTTCCTGGGAGCACAACCTGGAGACAAAAATTTCCTGCAGACTAACAGAATATTTTTGTGCTAAATCTGCATGTGCTTAAAGGCACAGTTCAGCCTGTTGAACGATGGTTTTTAAGGCGCATTTCAGCCCTGTTAATTGAAAAAACTAACTAGGAAAATCAATTAAGCATAATTCAAAATCACCAATCTTAATGTTTTTAACATTTTAAAACATTCATAT